ACGTCCAAAAAAAAAAAAAAAAAAAAAAAAAACGAAGGACTTGGATAAATAAAAAAACAAATGACAATTATACAACAGATATACTACATTTTCAGTTTAATAAGGAAGTTTCTATAAACTTCGTCCGTATTTAAAGCACTAATATTAGAATTATTATGTCTTACCTCTTATCGGTTTATACAATATCAAGATTTTTAAGCGCTTGTATGTGATTTTTGTTGTAAATCTCGTTATCTCTTCACTACGATTATTTATACGCAATTCATTTATCATTATATAAAAACTACCGAGAGAACATGTGTGTGTATCTGTGTATGTGTGTTTAGTGTGTGTGTGCGCGCGCGCGCGCACGTGTGTACGTGTGAAGAGAGAAAATTGTTACAAAGAAATTACGATTCGTATAATCTTATAAATAGCGAAGGAACAGTTTTCTCTTCTATTATTATATCAGAGTTATTATTAATTTATTATTTAGTTACAGTACTTATATAGAACTTATGAACTAGAGAAGTGTCCTGGCCTCACTCCGACCTACAGCTTACTCCGCTGTATTCTGTAATTTAGGTCCCGTCTGCTTTCAAAAATGTCTCAAGGCACTTTTTTAAATACTCTTGTTTAAAAATTGACGCAATCAATTAACTGTTTTCTTTTTTTTTTCTCGTTTACATGCACAAAGACTTTGAAACGGTACCAAAATCGTAAATCGATCGCGATCAGCTCGGGGTCACGCAATAATACGGTGTGCGTGCGTGCGTGTACATGTGTGCGCGTGTGTGTGTGTGTGTATGTGTATGTATGTGTGTGAGCAACGGCATATCATCTATATATTCAACACATTATTACAATAAATCTATAAAATAGCACAATATAGAAATTGCTTATGCTGTAGATATTACTTATAAATACTGCAAGAAATCGATACGGTTGTCCGTTTAAATTCAGGTCAAAAGCCAATGAAAAAGCAGGGTACTGCAAACTGTCGAATAATTACGAAGTGTGTGTGTGTATGCTTTATTTGAGCGTTGTTAATTAGAATGTTCTTTTGTTTTGTTTTAACATACTTTTGTATATGTGTATACGCTACACAAAGTTTCTTCTACATAATAAGAAATTTCAAGCATTGTCAACGATATACAAAACGCGCAAAGTAAATCCCGGATTTTCGAAATTCAAGAAAGATACTTCACATCATGTCGTCACACATGTAGCAAATATTTTCTAATATTTGAGCAATCATAAACATATGTTTATACAGTCTTGCCTTTTGTATATGTCGATAATATTTATTTTACTTCACTGAGAATTGTAAGACACTAATAATACACGTTATAAAAATTAAGAAAATATATAATATGTACAGTATCAAGAGCGAGATTTTACCTACAGTATGTTGAGAAACCGATATATATCCAGTTTCTTTATCTTCAAGAAGAATACAATAATTGGATTACTATAATATCAATATTCCTTATAAAAAACAGCTGAAATTTTTATTGAAACTTTCAACCACTAACAATTCGACACAGTTCTGCGATAATATTAACAAAAGTTAAATTCATTAACGTAGTCTATTTTCTTTCTAAATTTATTCCATTCGTTGTATTTTTGCACGCACCCTGTGTGTAAGATAAAACTTTGTCACAGATGAACCAAATTTAAATTAATGTATGTTTAATGTAAACTGCGTAAAATGTTATACGCGTGTTTCTTGCAGTTTTATGTGCGTAAAAAGGAACAGCTGAAAGATCAAGAATTATATTCGACGAACAAAGCGAAAAATCTGAGAAGAGATGAAAAAAAAAAAAAAAGTACACATGTTCAGCAACAAAGTGTTCAACACTTCGTGTTTTTTGCTCAATTGATATTTCTTTCGTATAAAATTGCGGATTTCCATTCGAACCAAAGATTCGTATTCTGAGGCAAAAGACGCGTTATTATCGCATCTCTTTTGCAAAATCCGATTTAAAAAGCACTTGTGCAGTAATCATTTCACTAACCACAGCACAGAACACCTCTTCTTTGTACGCCTTTATCATTTTGGGCTCTGATATTTTTATAAGTATATTTCTGCTTCCTTGTTTCTCTTGTTTCTACGTAATTTACAACAACAATACCACGTGAAAGAAAGAGCCACGCCTATAAATTTGTTGTGTCTTTAGTTTGCGGCTTAATATAGCGCTGAAATTCTTCTAATAACAAAGACTTCGTAGTGCGCGAGATGCTATTTATAAGTATCAGCTAAAGCCATTGAGATGCAACTCCATCTTTCAGGGTATTTTCTTTATTATTCTTTCTTGTCAAGACAAGTGTATAAAATATGACAAAACTTACTTCCTTTTTTTTTGTTTTTTATTATTTTTTTTTTTTTTTTTAAATAAAGTAAGCTGTGCTGGGATTTACGTAAAGTGATCGATATCTGCAGAAAAAATGTCTGACCATATGTATATACCATGTTGTATATATATGTGTATATATATAACACAATATACATTTAAGTGGACTTGAAAAAAAAAAAAAAAGTTTATTAGAAATATATATAGATTATTCTTATCTAAATATCTGCTAATAGGTAGATACAATTTCTGCGAGTTAACATCTAGTCTTGGCAAAATTTACACTCTTTTGCTGAAATTCGCAGAAAAAGAGTAAGTGTACAACATTTAAAATATTAGCGCAACATTTAGCAAAAAAGTAATCGTTAATAATAATATTAAAAAATCATCAACCATCATATCTATGCACAATCAAAATTTTTCTTTTGTTTATATTTTAAACCAACAATTTTTAACAGATATTTTCAACAGATATTTGTCTTAAAATAAATGTTTTAATAAAACTATTTGAAACACAAATTTAAAATTACATTAAATATAATTCGAGACTAATAATGTATGACATGCGGGTATTTTCAGTGTAAAGCCGCGATAAATTTACTTCATTGTTAATTTTCTTTCGACAAGCTACAATACGCAATTTGAAAAATGTTCAAAAACTTTTTGAATCGTCCAGAAAAAGTTAGCTGTAGCTTTGTGTGCTAGTAAACAACTAAATCATTTTATAACTCTGCTCGAGTTAAACAAACTGACTTACGTTTACACGTACATATATTGAATGATTTGTTTACATATACATTTAAAAAAATTTCAAAGTAAATTAAAATAAAAAAAAAAAACTACAAAGCAGACGTATCTCGGCTCTTTTTGCTCTTTTATCTGATAAATCAATAGCACGCTTAAGATCTTTTGGAGATAGCAAGTGTTAGTGTACTATATTAAAAAGTAAGACTCTCTTCAATTATCTTAGTAATGTACAATTAGTTTACACAAAATAGTAAATAGAAAATGCGTATTATCTCCAATGGTCGTGTGTAATGATTGCATGCTACAAATGTCTAGATTTCATATAATTTGTTATATTACTTACTTAATATATCTAAAACTGAAATCAATTTTGATAAGTCTTTATCGACTTAAAGGTTGTCCACCGAAATTAAACGAAGTGGGCACAGTCTGTGAGGTGAAGGCATATCCTGAAGAAAATTGAATAAAATAAACCAATAACAGTCTCGCTCTTTAGAAAACCGCAATGAATAAAAGAATTTTATATAAATTATGAATCAGTAAGGAAGTTTGGTCTGAAAACAAATAACAAAAATTTTTGAAACTTGAGTACCTTGTTTTTGACCAAAAACAATTTTACAAATTTTACCAATTTTACAAAGTTTTTCAATCATTTTCATTAAAAATTCCGAGAAAATCGATGAAAGCTCGATTTCAGACTGTTGCCATAGGTTCTTATGACGCTCAATTTTGACAGAAAAAAAAGTAAGATGAGAAACAGCCATTTGCAAAAATTTGTACTGGCAGATTAAAATTTATCCACTAACTCGTACAATTAGGATCAGTACAAATATTCGTACAACAAGGATCCGTACAACAAGGATCCATACAACAATAATCCATACAACAATCTGTGTACTCAACTGAAAAAAAAAAATAAAATAAAATAAATAAATTATTGACATACCAAAAACGAGATGAGGCTTTATGAAGAAAATGTGACAACACACAGCACAATCAGAAATCAGTTTTTCATTCCTTTAGTAATTGCATTCAAAGTAGAAGAGGATGTACAGAGGAGTGCACCATATCGTGCCGCGTCAAGAGAAGCATTTCCCGAGAATTTTTCCTCCGACTGCCTCTGCTACCGCGCGCCGTTCTCTTTCGGTCTCTCTGCCATCGGCCCGAGATCGAAGGAGAATGTGGCGCGCGGTGATAGGGGCAGCCTGAGAAGAAATTTCCGAGAAATACTTCCCTTGACGCGGCACGATATGGCGCATTCTGTATGTACATAATAAAAAAAGTTAAAATTCAAAAATTTTATAAAGATAAGTAAGACAGATATATCATCTCACTTTTCTTTTCCTCATGATTAATATAGTCCCAAACTTTCTTAAAGTTCACGTAATATACAAAACGTAAATTACAGATAAAAATTGTTAATTAAGGGCGACGTGTTTACCTCCGCTTCGTTCAATCCTTTTGCTTTCTAGAGCTGCTTTACGCTGATCCGCCAGTACTATAATGTCTTGCAGAGCTTTTTCTTGTTCGGGACTAAGAAGACTCGTTAACGCTTCGTACCAAGCCACGTCAGTTCTTTGAATATCTGTTCGAGGAAAAACAAAACAAAATAAAATAGCACGCAATTTGCGTTAAAATTACTTCACTAGCTATTGTGTTTATTAACTACTACTTACTTTGTATAACTTCTTTAAAAATAACATATTCATCTTGATTGGAATCGTCCGTGTCTAAAGACGTGACAAAAGTTTCGAGAGCTGTTGCCTCGTTACCATCATAATCCGAGTCGTCTTCCTCGTCGGACGATCTTTGATCGCCGTGAGAATCCTGTATGCTTGTGGTAACGTTAAAACCGTGCTGAGCAGATGTCTTGTTTATCTTGTCTTGCAACTTATCAAGATACTCCTGATTGGCATCATCTATATCGTCCTCGTCGGATGATAACGCGTCTGACAAATCCAACAAATCCGATTAGCTCGTTGCTCGTAATTATTACAAGCACAAACATATAGACTAGAAATTGCGAGGTATTCGCTTCGCGTCGCGTCATAGCTACATCGTGCGAATTCACAAATCGGCAAAAATAACCGAACGCTTCTCTCTGAAGTTTCACGAAATTCGACGGCGTTGTGAACTCAATGGTAACACAGCGGACAAAAATAACATACAATCGCACCCATAGACGTATACGTTGAGCGTAACTTGATGAAATTGTGTATTTACATTCGTATGTGGAATAAAAACATTTAGAAGTCAACTTTTCTATTAACTCATGTCGCAGAAACGAAGATAATCACGGGGCCAAACTTCGCGTACGTCTCACATTCAGCGCGCACGTTTGCTTGTTTCGTGCAAAGTTTACTTCTCATCCCTCTCATCGCGTTCTACCGACGTCGTATAGATTTTTTCTAGCGATGTCTCATTGTTGACGGTCGTAATTTCTAGTCTCTATACTTATATGTCTATGATTACAAGTGTTATTATACAAACAAGACACTCACCAACATCAACGTCACTATCGTCCTCGTCGTTTTCGTCGTCGTCCGATTCCGCACACTTGGCGGCATACGCTCTCCTCAACCCGTCGAACAAAAGTATCAAAGATGGAATAATTTGCGTCGCACATTCGTTAACAGCCTTAGGCCTCGCCGGACCCATACTGATCAACGTGCACAATCCGAGAACGCACATTTTACGATCGTGCAAACTGAGAGAAAATTGTACATGAAATTAACAAACTCGGAATTTTTTGATTAAAAAAAAAAAAAAAAAAAAACATAAACATACCCTAAGAAACAGTCTGTGTCGTTAATCCATTGCTTGATGAAACGCGATGCGAGCGGTTCTTGATGCGGAGCTGATTGATCAAAGTTGCCTTGCAGTCGGTCCATAGTTTCGAGGCATAGTGCGGGGTTGTAATATAAAGCAGCAATAACCACTTGCAGACACATCGTACGCAATTCCGATGTTTTTACCTCGCGCATTAGACGTTCTAAGACTAACTGCACAAGCCAGGGTATACACTGGAAATCAAATTGATTTGCTTTATCTTTTGTATATTAAATAAATTTATTAGTGTAAAAACAAGTTTTATGATCGCTGAATCGAATATTACTTGATCTATGTGTCCTTTGCATTCCAAGATCATAACTTCTAACAACTTAGCAGCATGGCATTCAGGATCTTCGCCACCATCGTTAGTCAAGATCTGCGGTATAAAAAAAAAAAAAAAAAAAAAAAAAAAAAAAAGAAAAACTATTATAACTGTTTATTATTATGATTTTTCTTTTTATCATACTGTTAGGCCGTGGAAGATATTCCGTAAGCGTGCTTACAACTTTACACATGTTGAACATGGCTAGAATGTGATTCTCATTCGATAAGAATGCTTGAGTGTCAACGGTGATGTAATTGTGTAATGCGGGCATCATATCGGTAAAATAATCGATACCATCTTTTTGGAAAAGTTGATACATAAGCTCCAGGATTTTCCACATATCCTCGGATATACTTTTAGTTGTTAAGTCGCAAACTAGGGATAGCGCTTCTTCGTAAAATTCTGATTAAAAGAGAAAATCGTTCCTTTGTGTACAAGCTCTTGAAAAATCAAATATACAAGGTGTCTGAGAAATTTTGACCAAGTTGAAGTGTGAAGTTTGTCAAAATTTGTCAAACATATTGCGTACTGGAAACTCGAAAAAAAAAAAAATAGTATGACTCCACAAAGAGGTATCAATAAATGTATAAATATAAAATATTTGTAAGATACATACCCATTACATTTTGCCCAAAAATATGAGCTACCACTCGAATAATAATTGGTTCAAGTTGCGCTCGTATTTGTGGCTGTTCATCCGTGACAGACAACACCGTCTCTATTGTCGTCAATAGACCCATCGCTGTTATCGCTTTCTCGTCGCTACCTTCATCCGTCTCGATCACTTGGCTAAACGTAGCAGCCTGAAAATAAAACACAAATGTAGTATTCTATCTCTCTCTCTCTCTCTCTGACTGCTTTTTGTCTCGAAGATTATAAAATTATTATAAATTTATGACGTATGGATTTTTTTTCTTTATGACCACTGAACCATTACAACATTGAATTGAATTGTTAAATTTCTATTTGGAACCGACCCGTCGGTCTCGCGACCTGAGTGCAAAGGCTGCAAACATGAAGGTCTCGAGTTTGAATCCGCTCGTTACCTTAGGATTTGTTCGAACCGATCTCTTTTCCAATCGAGTTAATCCAATTGATTAACGAACTGAATCAGGTCTCCAATAATTACTTCGAGTATAAAATCCCCTCCCACGAATTAATTCCCCTCCCAAAAGGCGGTCACAGTCGTACCAGCCTGAGTACGAGCCATTAGCGCACGAAAACCAAAACACTTATAAAAATTATAAATTGTCATTCAGTGAATTTCTCACCAAATGCTGACAGATATCCACTGCGATCGGCATAAGCTGTTGGCTAAATGTGCAAACAAGCTTCTGCATAACAGTTGTCAGATCATCGTTTTCCGTTTGTCTTATGATCGACAATAACTCAAGTGTTATCTGTTTAATCATTGGTTCGACGTATTGCGGAACTTTATGTTGTGCTGAAAGCATCATTTGAAGCGCGATCGCTGCTTCGACTTTAACAGGCAACTCTTTGTCATTCAGAAGAGCATGCGTGATTAATCGCACCGCGTCCATTAGAATCTGTTCTGATTTGAATTTAATCTCTGCAAAATAATGCATCGCCCAACAAGCCTAAAAACATAAATTAGCAATCATCTCACTACACCGAACGCATGTTTATGACATATTTATATAACTTATTTACCCTTGCTCGCATATGACCATGAGGACTACTGAATTCGGGAAATATGTATTGTAGTAACATTTTGTCCATTTGTTCTCTGTAGACTTTCTTCTTTAACATAACCTCAGCCAAAGTTCCAATCTGTTAATTTAACACGTTACATAACAAATTATATATATTTATAACAAAATATAATATATATATATAAAAAGAATATATACAAAAAATTAAATACATTATAAAATTATATACACTTAATTATACACATTTAATTTTATATATATATATATATATATATATACAGAGTGTTCAAAAAGTCCCGGTACAGCAAGATAACTCGAAAACTAAGAGTCGAACAGAAAAACATTTCAGACAAAAGTTGTAGGACTTTTCCCTGGCTATTACCACGTGACTTTGGATTTGACCTTGACCTTCAAGGTCATTTCAATGTCAAGTCGTTTTTTTAAAAATGGAACTCCATATTTTTGACGCCGGAAATGGAAAGAGCAGGAAATTTTACGTTCGGGCATGACCTTCACTAACCTCCTCCTTTGTCCTTGTAGTCAAGGTCAAACAATAAACAAGATAGATAGAGGCAATGCCTGGATTCTTCTCTACCTTGCCTTAACCGGCTGTTTATTGACCTTGCCCTTGACTATAAGATCAAGGGAGGGGGTTAGTGAAGGTCATACCCGAACGTAAAATTTCCTGCTCTTCCCATTTCCAGCGTCAAAAATATGGAGTTCCATTTTTAAAAAAACGACTTGACCTTGAAGGTCAAGATTAAGGTCAAATCCAAGGTCACGTGGTAATAGCCAGAGAAAAGTCCTACAACTTTTGTCTGAAATGTTTTTCTGTTTGACTCTTAGTTTTTGAGTTATGTTGCTGTACTGGGACTTTTCGAACACTCTGTATATATGTATGTATGTATATATATGTATATATATATATATGTATCAGTATTAGACGTTTATTGATTCCTCTTAAAATTCCAATATTTTATATCATCTTTTGCTGATTCGGCATCTTTTCCTGGAAATCTTTATTCTTTGTTAAAATGAGCTTCAAATCACCGAAAAGTGAGGCAGCAAGAATTCGAACTCGGTATCGCGGTTGGCCTAGCGTTACAACGCCAACGTCGCGTCCTGAGCTCTCTCTCTCTCTCCTCTCATATTATATTATAACAAATTACAACTATGTGTTTAATCATGATAAACATACATGTAGTCAAACAACAAATTAAACTTGTTCAACTCAAAAACGTACCATATGCAATGCACCGTCCTTTTGTCTCGGATCTGCATTAGGGCTAGTCAACACTTCCAGACACAACTGAAGAGTTTTTTCGAGCATATTTTTTCTTAATCTGCAGGCAGAGTGCAACAAGGTCTGCGCCGCAGTTACCGGCGAGACAAAATCCTCGAAAATATCTGTAATTATAGTTAGCCGCTTGATATGTATTTTCACATTTCTATTCTCATTTGCGTAACAAGGTCAATTTTACCAAATTTCACTCTGATATATTCATACGGATCGGTATTCCAGAGTTTTTCGTCGGCGGCGGAATAAGAGAGTATGGGAAACACCACGTCTCTTATGATTTCGAACATGTGTGGTTTCAAGTACTTCCAAGAGTACGCATGACTCACACTGAAATTGATATATGCAATTGATATCACTCCAGTTGCCGTCATATCAATTTCTTGACGAGACGAGATCATCAGAGCGATTCTTTAAGCAAAAATAATTTCTTCTTACGCTAAATGAAGGTAGTTGATCGATTGCTGCATTACCCTGGGTGACACCCAAACTTTCTTGCGATACTGATCTAGGATTTTCAAAAGGACTTCGAGAATACCGGCGCTAAATGTCTGCAAATACCATTCTGCGAATTCTTTGTATTCTTTGGCCACGTTTCCTGGACTGCCGTATCTGTAAACAACAGTGTACGGTTCAAATGTAAATACTTTTTGTAATTTTCACTAATTTTCAACATCAGTTTTGAACTCCGCTAAATAAGATTTTAAATTACCTCTCAAACACTCTTTGTAAGATATGCAAGGCCCACTTTTTACATTTCCACCAACATAATTGCGCACGCTCTTCGTCATCCAGCTCTGGATTATGGGCTTCTATTGGTACAGGCCTGTCAACTATTTGCCTTGCCACATTCATCCACTGAGAAAACATCTCTCTCGTGATGAGGTCAAGTGGAAGCACGTACTGCAAAAAAGAGACGGGTACCATTATCGACAGCTTCCGATCTAATAAATCATCATGCAAAAATATTTGAGTTTTTAATCACTGACTACAACTATATGTTTTTGCATACCTGTGTAAGTGCAAAGAAAATTTTCAGTATCTGTTTTTGAAGAAGGACAGATTGTTCAGATGGGTCTGGCAATAAGCGCAACATCAGTTGGTACATCATAGGAAGTAACAAGTTCATTGCTTCATGTAATGGTCCTCTCTCTTCTACCTTTTTATATCTAATTACAGAAACAGATTTGTCAGAATGTTATTTCATACAATAAAGTATTGAGAGCAAATGATTCAATTTATATATGTACTCGAAATTTTTCACAAGTTGATGAAGAGCAAGGAGAATACCAGGCCAGCATGAGGAATCCGGATTTTGAAGGTATATCGTAATTTTGTCTACTATCTGTGTCCATCTTCCCGGAAAGTCGTGTTTAACTATGTTACTGATGCACACTGCTAATTGTGATCTAAATATACATAATATAGATAGCACATATACTCATTATTACTATTATTATTTATATGATATGATAATACAGAAATGTGATGCATTAGATTATTATTTTCTAATAATTCAGCTACAGTATTTTATTAAACAAATTTATATATTTCCATAAGTGTACTATAAATGTAAATGTAATTAGTAAACTTCTTAATAACACACAACAACCAGTAAAGTTGAATATAGACTTGCTTAAGTTAATATAAGAACGAGACAATTACTTGCCTAATTAATTCAGGAGCATGTACTACCGCGTCTACTATGGCATCTCGTATCATTGCACGATCTTGTTCGTGAATACTAAATTCTATAGGTCCTGTGTCATCTTTATCTGCCCAATTTGAAGTAATTAAATTTTTTAGATAAATTACACCTGCAAAGAGACAAATAAAAGATTTTACTTCATATTTTATGTTTGGAAATATATATATATAAATATACATACATAAGTATATTTATTTACTTATTTACCAGACACAAAGTACATCATTACACTACACATACATGATGCCTGCAAAGTTGAGATAATTGTAAGTTACAATTATTCAACTGTACACAGGTCTGGTGCTTATATTTAACTTAAATACTATCTTAAGAATATGTATAAGGAATAGTTATATAAACAGAGTTTGAAATATTTTTTTATGAATATTGAAGATCAGACAAGATAAATAGATTATAGACTTTGGTTCTGGTAATTAACTGTGTCACAAGTGTATATAGACATATATATATATATATATATATATATATATATATATGTATATACAGGATGTTCCATTTTAAAGGATCCAAATATCTCAGAAACACTGCGATAAATCGACCAATGTTTCGGACAAAAGTTTTATGACTTTGAGAGGAACATAAGATGGTACCATTGATTTGACCTTGGATTGCGTTGTCAACGTCAGGGCAAGGTCACTTAGACTTTTTTAAACGGGATCCTCCACTTTTATTGCATATTCTAGTAGCTTACCTCGAGAGCTTTTAAAAACACTACATATATATAATAAAGTGCTATTTCGTTAAGTACTTTTTGAGTTATAAGACTTGAAAGACAGTACTGTTGGCATTAACATTACTCAAGATGTACCACGCGGTATTATCTTGGTACGGAGATTGTCCATTCGGATTTACATCTCTTTTATGTTCTGAAGAAGATCGAAGGATGATCCAATCAATGAAAGCAAGATCGATAGTAATTCATATTTTGTTCCCATTGACTGAATCAACTACCGATCTTGCCTTCATTGATTGGATCATCCTCTGATCTTCCTCAGAACACAAAAAAAGAGATATAAATCTGGACAACCTGCGCGTGATACATCTTGGGTAATGTTAATACCAACAGTGCTGTAACTTTCAAGGCTTATAACTCAAAAAGTACTTAACGAAAAAGTACTTTATTATAGTGTTTTGAAAAGCTCTCGAGGTAAGCTACTAGAATACGCAATAAAAATTAGGAGGTCCGGTTAAAAAAGGCTAAGTAACCTTGCCCTGACCTTGACAACGCAACTCAAGGTCAAATTAATAGTAAATCATAAAACTTTTGTCCGAAACATTTGTCGATTTCACAGTATTTCTGAAATATTTTAGTGGATCCTTTAAAATGGGACACCCTGTACATATATATGTATATGTGTATATATATGTTTAAATATAAACGTATATATATATATATATATACAGGGTCCCAGAATTGCTGTACAATCTCTCGTAGGCAGGTAGAAGGAATAAAACTGAGTCGAAAAGTCCTGAACCATTTTTTTTCTATTATTTATAATAAAGGAGTAAATTATTGAGTAAATCAGGCCAATCAGCGCCGACCTTTAGCCAGGCGCACGTCAGTGAGCCACGCGCCTAGTGTGTGTGAGCACTCCGCGCAGTTCACTGACGTGCGCCTGGCTAAAGGTCGGCGCTGATTGGCCTGATTTACTCAATAATTACTCCTTTATTATAAATAATAGAAAAAAATGGTTCAGAACTTTTCAACTCAGTTTTATTCCTTCTACCTGCCTACGAGAGATTGTACGGCAATTCTGGGACACCCTGTATATAAGTATATATATTATATACACACTATACACATGACATTTTGAAGAAATTGAAAATATATTTACCAGCTTGTCTTACAGGCATATCTACTTCGTTTGACATTACTACTTGAAGAAGTGTTGGGGCAAAACCAATAATTTTGTGAATCTGAAAAAAATTAAGAGAGTTTATATACATGTGTTAGTATATTATTGTTATTGTTATTAGCATATTATTGTTGTGTCGTATAAGTACTCTGCATTATTACATTATTATATTATTATTATATTAGCATTTATATATCTTTGCACTGCAATCATATACTATAGACTTATGACTTTCAAAATGATGACAATCTGTATGTGAAGCATACAGATGTACCACGTATGTATGTATATGTGGGACTGATAATATTCTTCGAAGATAAAATATTTCATTTACTTTTAGGAAGCTTTTGTTTATAAAAACAAATGTTTGTTCCCTTTTATTTAAACAATTAAGTTCTATAACTAATGTGTCACACAACTTTGACAATAAACTCCAACATATTTTTAAACTAATGATCAATTATACAAACTCAATTAGAGATTTTGCCAAAAAAACAAATAGTCTAAGACTGCACACATGTTTGAGATGCAGCAGTATCTTCTACATGTACGCACATGAGTAATATAGAGACAAAAAAACATATAACAAATCACATATTGGAGAAAGTTTGCTCTATTATACAATCTGTTGCAAGATAAATTTTTACATGTCCAAAACTATATTTCATGATCAAGATGAAGTACTTTTGATAAAGCTTATCTTATGTACAGAAGCATGAAACCTGAAGAAAGGTTAACAAGGAAAATCAGTAATGCATATTATTTTGCCAAGCTCACAGAGCTTATTGCGACACAAACTTTTTTTTTTTTTAAAAAAACGAAATATTATCTTCCATGATAATTTCTTCAATTTTCGTCTGTCGTATTCGCCGCGTTTGAATTTTTCGAATTGATCAAAAATCCGTATTGTCGAAGAATCCATCGAAATGACGAGGATCTCTGTCAAAAGTGAACATCACACGCGTGACGAAATCTAATCTCGATAAAGGTGTATCATCAGCACGTGCATCAGCAGCGTAGTATTTCATTTTTTCGATGAAAACGATACGAAAACGAAAACCCACATGTTCCTCGCGGAATTATCAGCAGCCTCTCTCTCTCCTCCCGCCGAACGGGACTACGAAAGCACGTTTTCGTTCGCGAACGAGATCCTCTCGTTGAATATTTCACGCAATTTTATTTTACATTACCTGCGTGAGCTGCGCTTCGGCTTGCTTTTGTTGAGCATGGTCGATCGTTGCTCGAAGCACTTCCGTAAGTTTACGAGCATCCATCTTCTTGGAACCGCAGGCTCACAGTGTTAATTACACGCCTAAATTTTTCTGACGACGGCCTGCTCTCGCATCAGGATGTGCAAATCTGACCCGGCGCATTCACCTTACTTACCGCTGCTCCTTGCCTGACCATGCGGTCACGTGACACAACAACATGGCGAGACGACGAGACCAGACTTGAGCTCGTGTTCACAGCCTGATATTACGTTCAAAATCATTTCAAATTTATCTTAAGACGCTGTACGGACCATTTTATCGGCTACAGCGTGTCCGAAGATAAATTTGAGCCGATTCTAAATACAAGGATCCAACCGTGGATATCGGTCCTCCGTTCGAAAGTATTTTTCATTGGTCGAGTAGCATTTGTTAACCCAATTAGAACAAAGAAAACTTATTTCAAGTTTGATGAATCGTGTTCTGATTGGTCAAATTCCAATTTGATTTCAATCTTACACTGTTCAGAGCCGGTTGTTCCACTTTTGGATAAAAGTTGCGTTCGGGGAGCGCAACTGTCAGCGCTGTCGTATCATTCTATCTTTATTGCTCATTAGATGTGAAACAAAGATAGAATGACGCAATAGCGCCGCGGATAGCGTAATCCCGAACGCAGCCTAACTCCCCTGTTCCGTTATTGCTGGCAGTATTGAAAAATTTATACCCGTCACTCCCGTACGTATAATCCCGTAACTCCAAAACGCAAATTTTAGAGGAGAGCAGTTTAAAAGTTTAAAGCTTCATATAGTTTCCCTAGTTAAGGGATCTTTCGGTTTTAAATTTTTACCATACTTATGAATATTTTTTTTTAATACTTGGTGACCACAAAGAACATGACTTTCTGAGTGTCACTATGCAATAAACTGAAAATCCCATATGTGACACTTATGTAAGGCCTGGTTTATGCGAGCAGTAACTGTTAACTTATGCCGGAACCGGTAAAGTTTAACTATATGATTTTAATACTTCTGTTTATACGAAATTGCCGAATGCGTATAAACAGAAGTATTGGAATCCTATAGTTAAACTCTACCGGTTCCGGCATAAGTTAACAGTTATTGCCCGCATAAACCAGGCCTAATTATACGTAGGGAGTGACGATACGTTCACGTTACGTATCTTATAGATCTTTTTCAGTAATTACTGCCAGTAATAACGGAACAGGGCCTAATAATCTATCTAATGGTTAAAACTCTGATTTGTGCGTTGTTTCACGTGTCAATAAAATTTATATAGCCCAATTTTTTCATTTCTAGATAAGTTCTCGATAACTTTATATCTTTTGTATATTTTTATCCAGAGGATAGCAATATCGGAAGATACGAAGAAATCGGCAGTATATCTGGTAAATGACCGATTTCTTCATATCTCCCGAATTATATCCTCTGGATAAAGATATACTTAATCTTTTAGATAAAAGTTATCGAGACCTTATCAGAGGCAGTGATGAAAGATCGAGCCTGCAGCAACAAGAGTATCGAAGCCAATCGAAGCGGTAGGGGTACGCACCAAGCGAGAACCGCCGTCACAGACGATAATTCTTACTTGTGTGCGTGCCTCCACCGCTTCGATACGCTCTCGTTGCAGTTTGGGCTCGATCTTTCATCACTGATCAGAGGTAAAGAAATTGGGCATAAAAGGTAAAGTACAACAGAGAAACTAAAAGATAAAGTACACAACAAAGCATTCTCGGTATTGTGTAAGTCGTATCTAACAGATAAATATATAGAAATAAAAAAAACAGTGGGGGATGCGCTAGTCAGGTTTCCATCCTAGCTGCGTTCCGTTTCACGCATATGCGCGCATTTATCTATACTATACGTAACGTGTACTATAGATACACGCGCGCATATGCGTGAAACGGAACGCAGCCTCTATAGATCAGATTATGTCCAAACTATATAGACGTAGAATATGGCTGTGTTTCAAAATTTACTGCCAGCGCTAAAGATCTATAGTTTAAGTCACATATATTATACAATTCTAGCACTGGCAGCGTGCTGGCAGTAAATTTGGAACACAGCCTATATAGACACATTTATGTCGAAGATCAAGTGATTTTTCTTTTCGAAGTCAATTTGTGCAGTTCTTTTTGTTCCTACTACCACGCGATACACGGCCGTCTTTCACAGTAGGCGTACCCCTATCTGTGTCGGGCTCGTGCTCAGGTTGTTGTGACTTGTGATCGCCTTGTGGGAGGGAAATAAATTCGGAATTACATCCGAATTAATTTTTGAAGACCCGATTTAGTTCGCCGATCAACCGAAAACCTCGGTTGAAGGGGACCGGCCCGGAAAAAATCCTTAGGTGGTGAGCGGATTCGAACTCGGGTCCTCCGAGTTCGAAGCCCCTGCACTCAGGCCGCGAGACCACTATAGACTGCGCGTTCCCTACCTTTGCCATATTAAGCCTATGTCACACTACGGATTAGAATTGAGATTGGATTGCAATTTGGCCAATCAGAGCGAAGATCACTAAACTTAAAATTGGTATTCTTCTGATTGGTCAAATTTCAATCCAATCTCAATCCCAATCCGTGGTGTGACATAAGCTTTACAGAGAAAAATCTGAGATTGAATACACATATTCACATTAATGTATATAATTGTATACATACATACGTATAGAAAGAAATACTTCACACACATATATACCAACAGCCAGGCACAAAAATTATCATATGTATAAAAGTAGAAATAAAAATGTTATATTACACATATTACAAAAATAATTTGCGTTTACAAGATATACTCTAGAACACAAAAATAATAAGTATAACTTCCTAAATATTGTCCTCTTGTTGCCAACCATCTTCATCGGACAGAAATCTTCTCTTGTGACTTGTGTTCATGTAAGGTCTCAATGCCCATTCTGTGTCAGCTGCTGATTCAGTATCTAAAGTTCCTAATTTGATCTCGTACAACTTCATCTGGAAACGTGGTCCAACTTCGGTCAATTCGATATCCTTTCCCTCAATCTTCTTGTACACGTGATGCCGAAAACATATGTAATCGTCGTGATTAGCAAAAGTGATTACTCTCTTGCTATCCTCTTTCGGTACTGGAAACAGATACTTCAAGATATTCGTCACTCTCGTTCCAAGTTTTGTTTTGAAATTGTGAAAGATGAGATGAGGATATTGCTCCGACATTGTGCCAATATCAGGTATATCGTGTCGCATCACAACACCGGACAGTGTGAAATAAGCTGTCGGTCCATAAGGCAGATGACATATCACCAGAGAGTCCGGAGTTCCTCGGTGCTCGTGCACCATGATGAAATCTGTCACATCATTCGCACGACAAGCATGGATTAGCTGTTTCATCTCGTAATTACCGCGATTCATTCGCTGCGCGTTGGGAAATATTAGACGCAACTCTTTGACAAACATCTTGAGTCGAGAGCTTGGGTCGCGAGATGTTGTAACGACGATTTTCGGATCCTCCACACCGGCCCAACGATACTCGTCATCCTCGTGGTTAACCACGGCTCCGCCCATCTCCGTGCCCATGGCCACAGCCATCTCCGGCCCGGCATCTTCCCATTCGATCCTCTTCTGTACATGTAACGCGCTTTTCCTCAGATCCGGATGAATCGGCGTGTTCTCGTCCAAGTTGCGTTTCAGCTTATCCTTCTTCTCTTGAAGACCTTTTACCTTATCCTGTACAGATTTCCTGTAGAGATATTCCCTACGTAACCGCGCCTGTCTTCGTAACATTTTTGAAAATAAAACACGCTTGTAATTGTAGGTTAGATTACATTCGGTTTGCGACAACACGTGCTGTCGAGTGGTTAACGTGGGTTAACGATATCGACTGCGATCTTGTCAAATGTCATCCTTGACTCTAGACCATGGTATCTAGACAATGGGTGCGTTCAGACAACTCAACGGTTGAAAGATCATCACTTATGATAGGACTATTCTTCAAAATCTGCTGCGGTTCCAAAAGTACGATCCAATCAGAAGTGATTATCTCTCAACCGTTGTGCAACTGTTGAGTTGTCTGAACGCACCCAACGTGCACCACTTGTGGTACGTTCCAAAATCTTACCTTGATAATCGAAAACTATCGACGAATTCGATTGGATGCACTAGTGCGCACTGAGTGCGTCCTCTTTCAGTGTTAGTCAAATACCAACACTGAAATATTCTACAACACATTGAAAGAAGACGCACTCAGTGCGCACTAGTGCATCCAATCGAATTCGTCGTATAGTACACGTGAAATATAGCATTTTAGTAACCAAAGTAGGATTTTGGAACGTACCCCTGATAGTATTGGGCGTACACCGCTAGATGGCACCTAATCTCGGATAAAATTCTAACTTATCTATATATGCCAGTCTCATTTTTATTTCACTTCCTATGTGTTTATTTACCTGTATATACGTGGCTAGAGGTGTGTCTGTAATCTGTTGTTTTGGCAGTTGAAAGTCAATCGAAGAGTGATGTTGCGCTAATTTTCAAAGTAACGAAATATTATATTTTTAGGTAAACACCAAATAATGGAGTTTGTTTAATACTCAATGTGTAAAAATTCTTCACAAATTATCTCTCTTCAGTTTATCTCTGCCCCTTTAATTCAACAATGTATACGTCATTGGATCTCTCACTCGCGACGTAACAGCCGCGAGTCGTCGTGGGATTTAAATGCGTGTCAGCAGTCATAATCGTGCGAAACATAAGGCGCGAGTGGGTGTGTGCGGGCGATTAGGTACATTGTCACGTATGCGAGCCCGTAAACGACGAAAGTTGCACAACAATATATGTGAGTACGGAAACGTGTTAAAGCATGACACTTGCTGGCAATTATCAGCCACCTTGTCCGCAGAAACCACCTTGCGTGTCTTTGCTTCTCTCTTTCTCTCTCTTTTTTCTGTCTCCCGAATTTATTAGAATATCGAGTGTTTTTTTTTTAATTTTTCCGTTTTCATCTGACTTTGAAATTTAATTTTTTTGCTGTGTGAAACATAACGAGAAACACATTGATCGATGAATCATCTCTTTCGGTAATAATTGCCAAAATATTTGCTCGACGACAACGATATTTTAGAACAATTTGAAAAGTTTTACGTACGAGATTTTAAAGATGTCACTTTTTTCCATGTATTTGAATTTAATATTGTGATATTTTTTTTACAGATGTGCCGTGAAGCTGATGGTGATTTATAATAAGCTAATAAGCGCTGTGACATGATTGTTTTATATAATTGTACTTTTATCTTTGATTAAACTCTCTATTTTATCAAGATGCACTTTTCCATACCGGATACTCAGGAATTTGATGACGGATCTGGAAATTCATACATTGTAAGTATGTATGTAATGTGTTATATTTATTTGTTATATTGTATGCGTGCGTATCTATAATCTGTGTATTTTTTTAAATTATATTTACTTGGCATTCTGTGAATTATAGGGATATAATATTCACATCAATAGATTGTTTCATTGCACTGTCAGATACAAACAGCTACATAACTTGCACATACAATTATCTAAGGATCTGAATGTACCTCTACCTCTTTTTCCTCCAAAGAAGCTTTTCCCTTTAACCATCAGCCAGCAAGAAGAACGGCGACTGGCTTTAGAAAAATATATTCAGTCGGTTGGTCAGAATATCACTATAAATAATTCAGAGATACTAAATGGATTTTTATTGAACGCTCAACAAGAGACTGTAGGTAGCTTCTCTGAGAATAACGTTTTAGATATATATCTCATGAATGGATCAAAAATTTCATTAACTGTTTCTACAGGAGAGCATTCTGGCGAAGTTTTAAAGGTATTTAGATTATACTTTTAGTAATATGTGTAGAAAAAAGTTAAATTTTATGCTCGTGACAAAATCTCTTAAATTATTTCTATGTTTTTTTCTTTTCTATAGAAAATATATAAACAGATAAACTTGTTACAAAAATATTACTCTCACTTTGCATTGTTTATTATCACACAAGATGATTTGTCCGGTGGTATGAAAAGTAAGTGCGCGTACTTTTATTACTGTTCTGTTTTTAAAAGAGACATTTACGCTTATTTTTTTAACATTTTATCTTCTCTTAGTATTACGAAAATTACAAAATTTCGAGTCACCACTTATAACATACAAACATATGAATTGTACGGACGCAAAAATCGTTCTCAGAAAAAATTACTGGGATACGGCACACGATCTTGAACTATTGAACGATCCTGTAACCGTGAATTTGTTGTATATTCAAGTGGTTTCGGAAATTCGGAACGGGTGGATTCCAGTTACGAGGGAAGAGCAACGCAAGTTGGAACATTTGCAAACCTCCGGAAATAGAAAAGAAGTAGGTTCCGTATGCAAAACTTGGATAAAATTTGTTTTTAGAATATAATTTGTGTTTTAAAGATTTGTTATTTCAGTATTTGAATGTAGCTCGTTGTTTAAAATACTATGGCTACATACAATTTGCACCGTGTTATTGTGATTATCCCCAACATGGTACGAAAGTATTACTCGCTATAGGTGGAAACGAATTGAACATACGCGTTTTATCATCCAGTGAGAAGTTGGTGGGAGATTGTGAGCACGAGATTGCGTTTAAAGTCTCGCGTGTGCGATGTTGGCGTATCACTACTGTGCAAAATGGAGCGGATCATTGCGAGGATAATGACGAAAACAGTTTGGAATTATCTTTTGAATATTTAATCGCTAAGAATGAACTACAATGGATCACGATCATTTCGGAGCAAGCAATTTTAATGTCTGTTTGTCTGCAAGCCATGATCGACGAGTTGTTGCAGAAGTGCGTAGTGGGAAGCAAAATTCAGGTTTGTTGCATAAAGTTGTTTGTTTATTTTAATGCTTTAAATTTAATCTTCTAATAGCAATAATTTATTTTACGTGATATTCTTAGGAAGAACCTGGAAAATCATGGACTTATATCACGAGAGACGGACACAGTCGTATTAATATGGGATTACCGTTACAAGAATGTGCCAATAATACTAATTCATCTAAATCGGGACCAATTATAAAAAAACTCGCTAACAAATGGTCGGCTGTGACATCGAAAAAATCGGATGATTCAACCGTTGTTGATCAGTCTCAAGCAACACGCACAACTGACTTCGATGTTGTGGAAAACAATGTTTTTCGCATGATAGGAGATGACGATTTATGAGCTCAATAATAATTTATAAAAACAAAAACAAAAGCAGTGATAAAAATCAATGATACAGGGTAAGCTTCTTATTTAAATAACTTCAAAGAAACAAGATGGTTTTTTCGCAATAATTTATAAATTATTCAAATAAACAGTTTCCAATTCACAAATGAGCCTGTAGCGCACACTTTTTTTCGTGCTAAATTGCATGCGAGCACCGGAATTGCGACCGATTTCAAACAAATTGTGATTTGTCTGAAAATGAAAAATAATTGTCCGCTTGCGACGCATTTGATCCAGCACAAAGAAAAGCATCGTATGCCACAGGTTTTTTAAATATAGATAGGTAGCTAAACTTTGTAACTACTTGTTGAATAATAATGCTTATTTGACATTTTGTATATTAATGTGATTATAAAATGCATTTATATATTTATTGATAAACTTTACACAAAATATTCTTTATACTTTTTATATACCGTCCAGCTGTAATCTAACAATTGAAAATTAACTTGAGCCAAAACAGTATGTTTTATAAATGTTATACGCATGAAACGCACATAATAATAATTAATGTATGTGATACGCAATAAATTAAGTGAAAAAGAATTACGCATAATTTGCATAATATTTTTATTATTGTTGAACAAAAATTTATATCGGAAAAGGCAGCACGTTAATATCTGTTCTTGTAATTATCATATAAACAAAACTATTAATAACATTCGTTTTTTTTACGTTAAATATAGCAATCATTCCTAAAACTGTCGTGTTACATTTTATACTATTATCGGACTATAGTGTTTGCTAAATCATTTGCTTGTAGAACATACTTGTGCTTTCAGTCTCTATATTTCAGCCAAACTGTATATTGTGAATTGTGTACAATATATATATATATATAATAAGACTATAAAATGATCCGTTGTCATGAAACTGTCATGATTAAATACGAATATAATCCTCGTATGAAAAATGATTGTTTACTAAGATTACATGACTGACAATTTGCTTAGAAAAATGCATCAGTATGTTTCCTTGTAATAAATTCGCTATGAACTTTCCTTCCTTAATTTTTCTTTTGTTAACAACGCAGAATATTAATTAAGACACGTAAAATACGTATATTGGTAATCGCAAAATCGTAAAATATACATTATTTTAAACAGGAAGAGTTTTATAATAGCACTAACTATAAAAATATAAAATTCATATAAAAACTTTTATGGAAGAATTACAATTTACAAATACATAATTTTCATGATTTTTTGAATATATTTTGATGCATTATATAAAATAAATCACAAGCTACATATTTGATAAAAACTATTATAAATTTACTCCTAGAAGACAATAGGCGCGTATTCTAGAGTTAACAAATTAAAAAAAAAAGATCGCGGACACATTTTTACTAAAATATTCAAATTGCTTTAAAACTTCATAAAGGAAGAATTAGTTTATTATAATATACTGCGTTTCGTATAAAATGATGTTAGAGTATAGAGCTTTGTGGAGCAATTTCAATTTTTTGCTTGCAACTTTATTAGCGTTACACTTTTCTCTTTTGCAAAGGTCAAAATGGATAATATATGTCTCATTCTTAAAGACCTTACTTTACGACAATGTGCATACTTTCTATATCAAAAATATTTTGTGGTTATTCTGTATTATTTTCTAAAAAGAAGAAACTTAAAAGATTCTGGTTACAGTTATTATTTAAGTATATTTCTATTTTCTGCCGCTTGCAAAATAGCCCAACGTCAGCAAAGAATTACTCCACTATGGATTATTCGCCATATGCATTGATGGCACGTACGAATATATATCTGTTTTATAATCGCGAAAAACAATATCTAAGTGAAAAATTAATGATTATTGCAAGGCATTATCATATTATATATGCGATGTTTTTTCACTATGATTTTAAAAATATCATATTAGTGAAATCTGATTTCAATTTCAACAATTTTCACATTGTGATAAATCAAATCAGAACAAACTTTCTAATACGGAAGACTAATACTAGCGAGTTTGAAATGTTTCATTAGAATGCAGCTTTATTTTTTCATCTGATACTGTCAGTGAACTCTATACTGCTCACTCGAAGAAAAACCTAAAGAAAACAACGAAAACAGAAAAAGTGCCATTTCTATATCTAATGTTGTAAACACAAACACATGAAAAACCAATCAAGATTCACTAGAAAAAGAAATGGTACATAAACAACCTGTATTCTTTTTCTGGTTATTTTCTACAGACATTAGATTGAGCATTTCAGTATAGAGTACACTGTATATATACACATCTACTGCATATTATTTAAAGAACACTCTTAAAATTGCGTGATCGGCATTAGCAACTCGAAAATTAATTGATCACTAAGTTGATAATAAACTAAAGTTAATATTAGTAGAGAGTCAATCTATGGCAGTAGAACAAAGTAAATCTTAATAGCTTTGTTGGCTTATTTCAAACTGTCATGTTAAATAGAACATTCACACTTAAAATTGTTTTAAAAAATGCCTAGATGTTTAAGTGCATTTTATGAGCATATTTATACAAATTGATTTTTTTTTTTTTTTATTAACATAATAGTTTGGATACGATAGTATTGCATATGACTAGCGTAGCATGATATAATATGCCAATTTTATATATTTCTTTCACAAATGAATATAATATATATATACTATATATATATATATATTTATATATAAAATTTTTTATCTCTCTCGACAGAAACAATTGTAATTATGATGCATTTGTTTTATATTTCTATTGCGTTCCTTTTTTATTTTCTAACAACCCTACACGCGGGTCTCTCGTAATATTCCTCTATAAGAATAAGATATATTTAACAGTAATTATAGATAAACATAATACAAAAATTAAGTATAGTGATTGTTTTTCACCTAAATCACCTAAAATAATTTACATTGGTGACGTGAGGCTATCAGCTATCACTAGCTATAATATATCCCAGATTTCACAAAGAAAAGCAACATTGGAACTTGCCGGTAAACGAGAAATTTACGATCCTTGCAAATTTGTTTGTAAAAAACTTTTATTTCTGAGAGCAATGTTCTTTTCTTTAATGAAACTAGGATGACGCGAATAAAATCTATTCATTTATACAATTGTACACCCTTTGTCTACATTCGTCATCACTTATTCGTCTGAAGAAGGAAACTGTTAGAAATTCTGTTGGCGCTTCCGTTTGGTGTCCATGGCATCGAGAATAGGTTGCCTCTTTGTCTGATACCTTTTCCTCAATTCGTCGATCTCTCGCTCCATTTCCGCATCCAGACTAGCCATTCGTTGCTGCAGTTCCTCGTAGGAGAGAAACTTCAGCTGCAGGATATGGTTGTTTCTCTATATATTCAAGTTTTCTTTTTTACAATGTCTAAAGTGGCATTAACTCCAAATAGCTTTGAACGGAAAGGATGTAAATTATATCGTCATAAGATGCAAAGAGATAAATTCATCTTTTTGGGCCACTATTTATAATAACAATACATCGAGCAAATGTGTTATGCAAATCTGAAAAAAAAAGAAGTGCCACTTACGAAATCAAAATCACGTTCCGTGAAGACGTTTTGAAACTTTGAGATGTTGTTATGAGGCTGTTCTGGCACAGGATGAGGTATCTGATTCTGCAGCTGTAATTGCAGGTGACTTTGAAACCTTTGAGATTCGGTTGGACTTTGTAACTCTAATTTATTCGTATTTTCTGAATTTTGCGCTCCCAACATCTGTCCATTGCCCTACACACACCAGTTTAACACAATTAATACATATATAAATTTTGAATCGGCCTCCTGAGCCAAAAAGACTTGATTCACAATTACTCTTAAATTACATTCACACTCTTATTTATTTTTTCTCTCATTTTCCTACTTTCTCTCCCGCATAATTTTCCTTTTTCACTCAATTTACTGCTTACATCTTATCTTCCTCATTTAAGACATCCCTAACTTTCGACTATGTCCGCTCCTCTCTTCCTAACAGGAAGATTATTAAATAACTTAATTCCTTTTGAGTTGAACTGTTCTGTCTATAAATTTTTCTCTTTTCCTTTCACTTCTCTATTATTTCCCCCCTTTCTTTATAAAACTATCCATTATAAACTATCTTCCAAATTTCTTATGATTAATATGTTTTGCTGGATGTGTACAGTATGCTCTTAATTAACATAACAAATAAATTACCTTCCCAATTTCAGGCGCTTCTTTCTTATCAAAATGATCTAAGAATAATGGTCGATATTTTTTGCCAGATTCTACAGAACCTGTATTATGTCTCTTCATGGTAGCTTCGGTATCTGTATCGCTATTAATAACCATTGTACCTAAGTCCAGCATCGCTGAAACTAAAGTACCGGTATCTGGAAGATCGTGACTCGGCACTAATGTCCTACTATCCTCTGGTAATGGCTTCATGGTTCCGCTACAGTCTTCGTCATCCTTACAAAAGAGACAATTGATTCATTATAGAAATCTGTATACAAATCTATAAATTATTTATGTATGCTTTAAAAAAAGAGAGAGAGAATACCGAATCTTCGGCCTGATTTTGACTTTTAATTGCGACATTGTTTATGACATGAGCTCTATGTGCGCTTTGTTTTTCTCGTATCTCATGGGCCTCGGCAATCATTTGACTTAAAATACTAGGTTGTTTGGCATTACCTGCAATCACGTCAACATGTTAAATAATAAAAATACGTTATAAACTCGATTTCTTATTCACCTATAAATTCATGTTGCAAAAGCTCGGTCGCGGTTGCTCTTTCTTCAGGATTTTTTACAAGGCACCCACTAACAAAGTCAATAAATTCTGGACTCCATTGATCAGGTTCTCTAAAACTAGGTGGTGGTTTAGTCGGGATCATAAATATTGCTCTCATTGGATGAATGTCACCATATGGTGGTTTGCCTTCAGCCATCTCCAAGGCTGTAATTCCCAGAGACCATATGTCAGCCACACAATCGTAACCAATTTCTTGTATCACTTCAGGCGCCATCCAGAATGGTGTACCAATAACTGTATTACGTTTAGCCATGGTATCCTACGAGAGAGCATCTTAGATTTGAATTTGTATACAATTAATTTTGATATACTATGAAAGAGCAGCTTAGATTTGAATTTGTACAAAATTATTTTTCTCAATCACCTACCGTTAATTGACCAGCTACACCAAAATCAGCCAACTTAGCATGACCTTCATTATTGAGAAGAATATTTCCAGCTTTAATATCTCTGTGAATTTTTCTTCTCAAATGTAGGTATTCTAATCCTTTCAAAGTATCACTCAAAATAGTGGCAATTTCGTCTTCTTGAAGAGTTTTCTTTCTCAGCCTCATGATATCACTAACAGATCCAGCTCCACAGTATTCCATTACAATCTAAATATAATAAAATTACAATAATAAACCACTCTCTCTTTCTTTTTGTGTGAAATAAAATACAAAATATTTCATAAATTTACCCATAAATCTGTATTCTTAAAGTAACTTCCGTAATATTTAACAACATATGGAGAGTCACATTGCTGCATTATCGATATTTCCTTAATGATCTCCTGCAAGTCAGTATCGACTGGTACTTGTTTAATTGCAAGTACTTGTCCACTTTCTTTATGCAACGCTTTGTAAACTGATCCATAAGACCTGGATAAAAATTTTATATTGTGAGTCTATTTTATTTCTTTTATCAATAGATAATAAATATACATCAGAGAAACTTACCCTTCCCCTAATTTACATATGATATCAAACACTTCTTCTGGTTGTCTCGTCAGACTTTCCTCTGATAATTTTTTTAATTCACTAAAAATAAATACAAATAAAACTATATCTCTCTTAAATCAACTTGGTGTACAGATATGTTGCAGAAAGTCAGCAAAATAAAATTTCACTCGATTTGTACAAAGTACAAGCTCGGGTAGTTTTCAAATAGAAAACTTTGGAATTTGAAAAAAAAAAATTAGATAAATTGTCGAAAACAAAGAAATCTATGAGATATAGACATTTTGCAAAGTGTGTAAAAAATTATTTCAATATAAATATATATGAAAGGTTTTGAAGAAAAAGGTTACAATATGAGAAATAATCTTGAACGATCTTTATTGCAGGATAACAAAGAGTGAAAAAAGACGAGTCAATTGTGAAACATATCGTGTCTTCAATTAGCGAATTGTTTGCCGGAAAATCCACGCTGTCTCGTCGCTATAAATAATCTCGAAATTCGGCACTATAGTCGCGTGCACGTAGTCACCTAAGTCGCCGCATCGTAAAAGCTCAAAAGTAAAAACAATCGAATACCTCTTAGAAGACATCTTCGCGTCGATGTCAGATCAAGGAGGAATCTTGAATAAAAGCACGCACGTATATTTATAGAAACAAGAACAACTTAAACGCAAACGAAGTAGTAGTCAACATGCCGTGTGCGGAGGTAACATGGCCAATTAAAAATAGAGGCATTACATTTTTGTCAATAAATTAAAGTAACCACACACAAAACCGAAATATCGAAAGCTTCGACTATCGGTCGTTGTAGATAGTGCAGCGAGTTGATAGTGGACGTGTGTTCGCAAACGCCTACTAAACTAAAATTATCTTTGCTTTTGCGCGACCATCTTACGCGTTTGCCGACCAATGAGAACGCGATCATCTTGAGATCGTCTAAAACAAACCGCCCAATCACAGACCAACGTTCCTCGCTGAAGCAAGCAAAACACTGGCCTGTGATTGGTTTATTTTGCTTTGTTGCGTGCGCGCGCACGCACACGGTAGAAAATTTGGATCAAAAATCTTGGAAAAAAGAAAACTTAACTGCCGAAACACAGATTTTTGCATAATAATGCATGAAAAAACGCATAAGAAAATCAACCAAGCCTTTCATTTTCATTCCTACTTCTCGTTCTAGAAAGGCTTTGATTGCTTGATTCTCTTTTTTTATTGATTTACGTTTTTATTCATTATACATTATGCAAAAGTCTGTGCTTCGGGCCCTGTGACTCTGAGTTAACAGCCGGCACAATTCTCGGAACATATACAGGGTGATTCAGAACAACCCGTTATCCTTGAAAATACATATTCTTGACTAAATTCTAAGACAACGTTTTATTTGGCAAAATTTTGTCTGAAGCTTACTTTTTGAGTTATTAATAAAAATAGTTGACTTACCACAAGTCGGATGCAAGAGGTAGGCAGGGACGGCGCAACTCACCGTCAGAGACGCGGGCGATTACGCGTGGTGCCTGACGCGATCAGCTGATCGCTACGCATTGTTTCTGTATCTTTTTCTGTCTCTCTCTCTCTCTCTCTTTTTTTCTCTTACTTATTTATTTACTCATTCGCAATTTGTATCATTTAATCCGTGCATCACATAAATCACTGTCAATCACGGTGAGTTGNGCCGCCCCTGCCTACCTNTTNNATCCGACTNNTGNTANGTCAACTATTTTTATTAGTAACTCAAAAAGTAAGCGTCAGACAAAATTTTGCCAAATAAAAAGTTGTCTTAGAATTTAGTCAAGAATATGTATTTTCAAAGATAACAGGTTGTTCTGAATCACCCTGTATATCTCCCTCGACATTTTTCCGCGGAACCGAGGAGCGGAAAGGTAGCGAGGTATTGCTGTTCGTTCATACTGAGAATGGATTGCCGCGTATGTGGACTGCCTTTATCGGTTCAGGAGCCATAAATGCACCGAATCAAATCGAGCTGTGTTTGAAAAAATCTTTCAAAAACTCTATCCGATCAACCGCGGAACCTGCGATGATGTGGGAGACAGAGTTCGTATATATATAATTTCTTCAAAATTAACACACGCACTGGTAAGGCCTGGTTTATGCGGGCTAATAAGACCTTGTTTATGCGGGTAATAACTGTTAACTTGCGCCGGAACTGGTACAGTTCAACTATAGGATTTCAATGCTTCTGTTTGTACGAAATTGCCGAATGCGTATAAACGGAAATATTAAAATATTAGGCCCGCATAAACCAGGCCTAAGTGTATATACTAATTAACTAATTCTATACTATACACATATCTTGAATTTTCAAATCCTCTAGTAACTTCTCTCGTCGTAACATATAAGAGAGGATAATATAAAAAAGTAAAATTATGTGTGTGTATGTGTATAAAGATATAAGTTATTCAAAATAGTTATTTATAAAATATTAGGAAAAGAAAATTATTTAGAAAATATTAGGAAAAGAAAAAATTATGACAACTCACACATAACAAAAATTGTTTTATTAATATTCAAACAAAGAAGAGACATCACAGGTGCATAAATTATGTGATAAGTAAATTCTAAATAATACAATAACAGTAATCATATTTTTTTCTCTTTTCTCTCGAGTTAGCTGAAGAATCAAACGATTATTAACATTTGTAATTTAAAGCTTTTACACAATATTTATATATCATACATATATATATATATATATATATACTCTATATATACTCTATTTTTCAAGATAATCATTTTACCATAATTGTATCTAGTATTTAAAAAGAATATAGTTTAAATTGCGAGCAATCAAGGAGATATCTCTGAAATATATAATATATCTATATGTATGTACACACACACACGCACATTCAAACTCTCAAATTGAATCATAGCAATCGACGAATCGGCTCGTTGGTCTTCGCGCGAGACCGATGATGTGCTGCCGCGAAAGCAGGAAGCCCGAAGTTCGCGAATCCCGCTATTATATATTTATCGTAAGATTTTTTTTTCCGGGCCTCTTCGGTATCAATCGGGAAAAAAAAAAAACAAAATCGCGATGTTTCAAATTGGTTTTTGGAACATCGCGATTTTTCAATTGGCTCAATATTGAGCAAAACTATATGTACACAAGACCTCCGATTGGCCTGGCAAACAAAAAAAAAAACAATTCTAACGATAGTAGTTTTCGGAATTCCAGCTAAAACTTGCATATAAGTCTAGGTCCAATCGAAGACAAACAAAAAAACCCTTCCAAACTGTTTACAATTTAGATGATATTTATTTTCGAGAAGTATATAATACATCGATTTTATATAATCAGCACACATGAGAAAAAAACATACTTTCTCGTCGAATAATACTTGGTTTCCGTAAAAGTCGCGACTTTTCTTTTGTCTAAAACTACCGGTTGCCTATGGAACGGACTGTGAAATTAACACTCTTGTCGCAACGTTGATGCTTTGTCGCTAAGCTTCCACTGCTTTGTTTTTTGTCTTTTTTTTTTTTTTTGTTTTTCGCCAGATAAATTATCCGCAATTTTTCTATTCGTTATCGTTACATACGCGCGTCACGGATTATAAATTTCGGGCAATCTCACTACACGTTTGGCAATAATAAATAATCCAATCGGCTCACAAATTAATAATAAATTACAATATATATATATATAAAAAGAATCGGTCGATAAAAAAAAAACAAAAGACATGCATTATCCGAAAAACATTGGTTTGTTTTTCTTACAAAGTTTAGAGCTGGCATACTCGCGCGCGAGCAAGAGTAGTTTTCTTTTCGTCCACGCATGTGTATAATATTTAAACTTCTGCAATATTACATGTCCTGCATATATATATATATAAGAAAAATCCAAAATAAAATGGTACAATGCTTATAAAATTTACTTTTATTACACGTGTCAAATATTCAGACAGTTAAACATTTTTTTTGTATAAGTCGCGAATGCAATCAAGAATCGAGATTATCAATCCAAACGATATTTAAATTTTGTCTCGCAATATATATATATATGTTAATATTTAGATATTTAGAAGAACGAAATAATTATATACGTGACTCTTTTTTTTTTTTTTACATACAAACTGTGTAAACTTGCCTCTCTATAAAAGGCCACAATTGCCTTGAGTGCAGCAAACGAAGCAGTTTCGTTGTATGTATCGAAAAATTACTTTTTTTTTTTTGTTTTGTTTGTTTGTTAATGATGGACTTCGAAGATACTGATAATCCGTACGGAGTTAATCACTGTTTGAAATCACACGATGCAAAATGGAGACGGGTGTTTTCTCACATAATCGAAAAGTCACAGAAACAATCATATATCTAGTCTAATTTATACAATCGTAACGTTAAGATACGTCGTGGAATTTTTCATTCTTCAATATCTTACTAACTTACAACGTACTCCGGAATTGCTTGAATCGTATTTAATCACGCCGGTACACTTAAAAAAAAAACAAGAATAATAAACGCCATTTGTTCTCGCCATTTTTTAATTGATCAACCGCATACACATGTATGTCAGCCGAAACAAAAACAAAAAAAAAAAAAAAAAAAAAAAAAAAAAAAAAAAACGCAGTATGTACAACGTAAAAAACATGTCTGCGAACAAATGAGAGGGAATGATACGTGCAACAAAAAAGATCCGTATAATAAATTCACGTTTTTCGAGGAACAACTCCACTGTAGGCAAGAACGAAAATAGATGGTCGTACATAGATGACTGTAGATGTGATAATTATTACGCGATTCAAACACTGTTTACACGCGTAGGCAGATGACAGCAGGCCGCGATTGTTCGTTCGAGTGTTACTTGATCGGCTTGCCCCAAGCAAACTGCATTCCTAAACGCGGGATATCGCTGCCGGTGGAGGACTCATCCTCGCTGCTAGACGCGGATGTTTCCTCGGAAATCATCGCCTCCCCGCCAGCCTCTTGAGGTCTCGGACCACCGCCCACGTTACAGTCATCCACCGCCGCTGCCGCCGCTGCTGCAGCGGCCGCCATCGCAGCGGCAACCGCAGGATTCACAGTCGATGCGGTCGATGATGTGGAAGACGACGACGAAGACGAGGAGGGTGACGATTGATCCTTTCTGGGATGTCGTCGTGAAACTGGCGTCGAACTAAACGACGGATTCCACGAGACCGCTTCGTCCGCCGCTGCAGCTCGCGCCGAATCGCACGTTGTCGAGATGCTTTTTGATCTCGCCCTCGTGTCCATTACGGGTCTATTCGCCGTTAATCTGAGTGATCCTTGTCTAGAAACTGTTGTCGCACTATCGCAGGATCTAGCCACTTTTGGTAGCGTGTTGTACGTGTCTGATCCTCCTTTCGACAGATCGTCGATTTCCAAAGTCCACGAGACTGAAGCGCCTTTCTCGACCATAAATTTCATCATAGACGAAGAATGTGCGCCATTTTTGTCGGGCGAAAAGCTGTGCGCTTCCATCTGTTCCGGATCCGCGGATCGTGTCAGTCGAGGATTCAGTTGATTTGCGAGAACGCTCACCCAATCATTTTTATTTCGCAACTTCCATTGCAATTCTTCATTACGCTGCGACAATCGCTTGTTGTGCTTGGACACTTGATGAATCGATTCCTGAAGCATTTCGTTCTCGTGTGAAATCTGTCGCTCGAACGATTCCTTTCGCTGAAGCTGAGCCTTCAGATCCTCGCATCTGGCTTCGGCCATGTCGAGTCGCATCTGCAGAGCGTCTTTCTCCTCGATGTCGCGCCTGTAACTGTCTAATTCCGAACGAAGATTCGTATTCTCCTGACTCTTCAGCTCGAGCACGGATCTCAACGATTCGATCTCCGCCATTAGAGCGGCGCCCTGATCGTGAACCACGGATCTTCTCATCTCCTCCTTACGAGTCATTTCGTTAATCTGCTCGGCGCGTAATTTCGCGATCGTTGCGCGATGTTCTCGCGTGATTTCGTCCAATCTGATGTCGTATTTGCGCCTCTCCTCTTTTAAAGTTTCGACCAGCGTGGCGATCTGTTTTGCCCTATGAGCTTCCACTAGAAAACAAAAAATCTTGAATTTATACTATTTGTCCAAATACATTTGCGTAATCAAAGAGAAATGTTCCTTCTATTTTAATAAAACAACAAAATATATACGTAAATAACAACGAGATAACTTTTAATTCATTTTTGATTGGATTGCGAGATTATTGCGATCGTATAACAATATTAAATTGAAAAGCAAAAGTGTAATACAAAGTTAAACGGAGAGAGCGCGAGCATTGAATCTATAATTAGCGCTATCGAAACGTCGAACGTTACATGAGAACTATATTAAGAACTATGTATCCTTCAGCAAGTTTAAAATATCTTCTAACAGAAAAAAAAAAAGAAAATAAAGAGAAAAAAAAAAAAGAAACGAAAGGTGATAATATTCTCTTTAGCTTAATTGTGGAGATCCGAATCACGCGTAGGCGCTGCTGAATCGTTCACTTTAATTAACTATTGTTCCACTTCGCGCGCCGACATTAGGACGGATTATGCTCGTTATCACGTGAGTAATGCAGAGAAATATAATATTCCATTGATGCTTGCGATGCTTTGTTGCTCAATGAATATATGCTTTTTTTCGTTTTTTTTTTTTTTTTTTTTTTTTTTTTTTTTATAATAGGTCTTGTGTTACGAAAACTTCAAGAGCAGTGTGTTCTATTCGTCAAACAGATTGGCACGTCATTTCACACATAAATAAAACATACACACACACACATGCACACAGTCTGCAAAAGAACCAAGAAAGAAAAA